GTAGCACACTAGGCCAGATGCCTTCACGTGATGGCAGAAGGACTGGTTTGGGATCTAACCGATCACAGGTCAACTCAGCTCTGCCTCCTCTGCTCCTTCAGAAATCCCACTCCTGCCCACCTACATGTTTGGTGGATGGAAGCTGGAAGACTGTCCTGGTGGAGTGATGTTGGTGTCACTCCACAAGCAGCCACTGGCAAAAGGCTGGCTGAGGGTGGCAGAGCCATCAAATCTATTGGCACCCACTATCCCGGCACAATGGCAAATTAGATTGCTCAGCTAGGTTTTATTTTAAAAACCGAATAAATCAACCATTAGTCTGGCTGTGTCAAGTGTGCTTTTGAAGTGTTTATCAAAATTAAAAGAGGTTCAGTGCAGCCCTGACAAAGAACTCAAGAGATTGCCGTGTAAGCCTGGCAGCATCTAAGATTAGTATGACCATCTTGTTGCACAACACAATGCAGATTTTAAAATATTCCCATTTGTTACCTGGATACTCAACTGAGTATTTTGCAATAGGATATATATCAGGTAGAGCACAAGCATAAGGAACAGAGTGAGAATAAATGTGATACATGGCCACTCGCATTGCAGATTCACCTGAAAAATTGCTTGCCTTTTATTAAATAACACTTATTAACTTACCATATTCTTCCTGAAATAGGAAACAGAGTCTGACCTTTTCAAACCTTCCTTTTCTGGCAGTTTAAAGGGAACATTATAAATACCAGGAGATACTGAGCCGAACAAGAAACACGACCGATTGAAACAAAATTAACTTTGATACATAACACAGAATACTACCTCAACAGGCGTAGGTATATATTTGCCATTATTGCATTACCTTCCTATCAAAAACTGACATTCAGACTATTCCAGAAATATGAGTGCCCTTTCAGCCTTCAAATTTGGATGTATTTCCATTTTTGTGTGATGTTTATTTGACCTTGTATTAATGTCAGGCGTTGGAATTTAGATGTGATGAAAATGAAAGCCTGTTATTTGGCTTTTGGGTTTGCAGATGCAGGACTGATCTCATTACAAAAATGAAATGATAGACTCCCAAGTCTGATGAGCGAACAGCAACTCCGAGGCTACATTTCAAGAGGTTTGTACTGGTTTCCCTCATTGGCACAGCACACGTGACTCAGACAGAACCTTGTGCAAATACACAAATATAGCCTTTATTTACAGACCGCCAAATAGCTTCCAAAAGGTAGCTAGCTGTTATTTGCTTTATGCTAGGAAAGGTCAAGATCAAGATCTTTCCTACCTCCAGCAAGAAGCTTCTCTTCCATCTCTCTCTGTGTGTGAGTAAATGGTCTTATGCCCCACTTTGCATGATTATGTGCAATAGTTCAGTTGTGAAGCACATAATTAACATATATCTTCTCCCCCCCACCTCAACTTTTTCCTTTTTAAAAGAAAACCTATGTACTCTGAACATGCATAGTTATGTATTTGCAGCTTAATTAAATAATAACACCACCATAAGTACGGGAATAAAATGGGGCTTGCTTCATTTACTGTGATGGAAAACACACACACACACACACACACACACACACACTTCCATTTAATAATAATAATAATAATAAATTTTATTTATATCCCGCCCTCCCCAGCCGAAGCCGGGCTCAGGGCGGCTACCAACAATAAAACAGTACAAAAATACAGCACAAACAACACTCTAAAATCATTCATTATAAAATTAATTTATTTTCTACCTTTCTTCCAACATGGAAAACAAGAAGATATACTTGTGGTTGCTAACTACAGAGGTGGATTTAGAGGAGTGCAATTGGTTTGGTCACACTGGGTGTGTAGCCTCGGGTGTGTGTGCAGAGGGCACCACAGCTATGAAGTAGAATGAAAGGCGAGAGGTGGGAGGCACTGAATTTTGGCATTGCCCAGGGTGCCACTTAAACTGAGACCGCAAGGACTGCCCCTGCTGGGTGGTCACCCATCTATGCACTGACCAGATCCAGATCTGCATAGATTCAGCAAGGTGGTGGTCTAAGGTGCCTTCAGAACACACTCTGGGTACCATTTTGTTCTAGAAAAGGAATGTATATAGAGATGATAGATAGATAGATAGATAGATAGATAGATAGATAGATGATAGATAGATAGATAAAGGGACCCCTGACCATTAGGTCCAGTCGCGGCCGACTCTGGGGTTGCGGCGCTCATCTCGCTTTATTGGCCGAGGGAGCCAGCGTACAGCTTCTGGGTCATGTGGCCAGCATGACTAAGCTGCTTCTGGAGAACCAGAGCAGCACACGGAAACACCATTTACCTTCCTGCCGGAGCAGTACCTATTTATCTACTTGCACTTTGACGTGCTTTCGAGCTGCTAGGTTGGCAGGAGCAGGGACCGAGCAACGGGAGCTCACCCCGTCGCAGGGATTTGAACCGCCGACCTTCTGATCGGCAAGTCCTAGGCTCTGTGGTTTAACCCACAGCGCCACCCACGTCCCATAGATAGATAGACAATAGTATTTTAATGCAAATGGCTACCATTTTGTTTCCTCCATAAAGCCCTCTTCATTTTAAATATGGGGCCACCATTTCAAAGTGGGGCCACCATAAAAAAATGGCTGCCTTCTTTGCCACTGCTTGGGGGCCATTCATTATGGTAGACAGCACCTTTACAGATCAGGTGGATATTCTTTCAACAGTTCATTTTATTTTGAGAAGTACAGTGTGAAATGCCCCTTCAAAGACCAAAGCAGGCTTGTTAAAAGTTAGTGTGCATTCCACGTGATCCTTCTTTTAAACCTGAAATGCTTGGGAGGAGAGGAGATTTTACATTTGGATTCCTTACTTTAAAAAAAAAAAAAAAAAGACTGTCATGCAGAAATTAAAAAAGGCTTTATTTCAAATAAGGCCCAGAAGATATCCCTATGCTGTGGAGGAAATAAAGAGATTAATAGTGGATTCTTATGCATGCCTAATAAGAAGGAAGCCCCATGCAATTCAATGGGACTCACCCCCCACTTGGTACTGTGGACCTCATGCTGGGTGTATTTCAGGAGAGACTCACACAGAGCTGCAATAATAAGCTTACAGAACTTTTTTCGGGTTGGGCGGTTCTGTTTTTTCCTCCAACCTCCTTTTTAAGACTTGAAACAAGCTTAACCTTTTCAAAAGCTACAATCCAAGAGCTTTTGATTTATCATTGGTCTAGGCTTAGAAGAAGGGAAAGCGCTAACTTAACAGGCTTATGTTTTGAGGAAATGGCCAATTTGGAACCCAGATATATATCCTGGAGATCCATGTTGGAGAAGTGTGACCACAGGAGAGAGAGGGTTTATTATTAGTTTCAGTGGAACTCATAATACAGGACCACACGATATAGAAAATCAAAATCAAATTCTCCTATGTCTAGGCTGTTAAGATTTCCTCCTTTTATACCATCTCAAGATTTAATGGACTGCCTGATTATCTTACATTAAATTATGGGAAAAAATTGTCCTTATCCCAGCAACACTCCTTCCTTGGATGTTTTTAAGCAGAGCTTGGATGACCATCTGTCAGGAATTATTTAGTTGTGATTCCTGCATTTCAGGGCATTGGATTAGACGGCCCATAGGGACTTTCCCAACTATACCATTCTATGATTCTATGAATATAATCTCTATCAACAGGCAGGTTTGTATGGAAGTACAACCAATTGTACCCTTGTGCGATTGTATTCTTTAATTTGATTGAATCTTATATCAAATTGAAAATTTCCCATCTATTTGTTTGTTCATAGTTGTTTTGATGTACACAGTAAAAATAAAAAGTTTTGTATTTGGCTTTGGGCATATGCAAACTTACCACTTCCTTTATGGTCTTACTGTTGGCAAAAATGGCAGCTGTCAGATATTCAGAGTAAATATTCATAGCAAATCAACATCTATTAGAGCCAACTCTTTTGAGGTTGCATCTACTATGTTTCTGAGCACAATTCAAAGTGTTGGTGCTGACCTTTAAAGCCCTGAACGGCCTTGGTCCAGTATATCTGAAGGAGTGTCTCCACCCCCATTGTTCAGCCCAGACACTGAGGTCCAGTGCCAAGGGCCTTCTGATGGTTCCCTCACTGTGAGAAGCCAAGTGACAGGGAACCAGACAGAGGGCCTTCTCGGTAGTGGCACCCACCCTGTGGAACGCCCTCCCACCAGATGTCAAAGAGAAAAACAACTACCAGGCTTTTAGAAGACATCTGAAGGCAGCCCTGTTTAGGGAAGCTTTTAATGTTTGATGCATTACTGTATTTTAATATTTTGTTAGAAGCCACCCAGAGTGGCTGGGGAAGCCCAGCCAGATGGGCGGGGTATAAATTATTATTATTATCATTATCATTATTATTATTATTATTAGACAATCATTTTTTTCCAATGATATCTGGGAAGATAAAAGTGACTGTCCAATATAGATGCACCCTTAACATGGTTGGCTCTGATAGCTGTATGTGTGCTGATCTGTTATGTCTACAGTTACAGTGTAATGTTTCTGCATGATTGCGCTTATAGTTTGACTCACCACCAATTACATCGGTGAATGTCCAGTCATTTTGACTATCTATGGCCTGATTAATGTGAACTATTGTTGCAATGGCCAACTGGCTGAGCAATAAACTTGAACCTGACCTGCCAGGCAGAAGCAGTTATTTAAGACAATAAGTTATTTGAGACAATAAGGATGGCTGCAGGACCTCAACAGCAGCAGCACGTGTGAGCTACACATGACTAGGTCTAGGGCGAAATGCCTTTGTGTGCAAACCATGCTAAGAATGCAACCTTTCTGCCTTGTGACATACTCACATGCACAACACAATAATGGAAAGTGTCTGCAGCACATTTTTCTCTAGTTTGTTTTGTTTTTTGTTTGGCTCATCAGTAAATAAGAACAAAGTCTGGCAGGTTTTTGCAAAGCACCAATCAGCACTAGAAGATCACTTTCTATATTAAGGTAGGTAGCCGTGTTGGTCTGACGTCTGATGTCGTCTGATGTCCAGTAGCACCTTGGAGACCAACTAAGTTTGTTTTTGGTATAAGCACAAAGTGTATCTTTTGTGCACTTTCGTGTATCTGAAGAAGTGTGCATCCACACAAAAGCTTATACCAAGAACAAACTTAGTTGATCTCTAAGGTGCTACTGGACATTTTTAAAATATATTTTATATATTTCTATATTAAAACCTTCCATGGGCAAATATTTTCTTTCCTTGTAAACTATTGCAGATTCTCATACATCCAGGCAGTAGAAGACCAAAAATTGAGACATCTGCAATCAGGTTCTGTTGGAATCTTGTCGTGGATGAATTTATCATGTGATAAATGCTACAGTCTGATTTGCCATTCTGAGCAGCTGCAAAAGGTGCTGGTGTGCTTATAAAATGTATTAGTCAACAATCCCAAAAGTTAAAAGGGTGTGCATTCTTTCTTCAGCCCTTTTTCAAGGTGAAGGGAGGGTTGGAGTGAGATGCCAAATGTAGCTAAATGAAAGTAGTACTCAAAAAGGAACTAACACTTTAGGTTCAGAAATATAGACTTTTAAATTATTATTATTTTCAGAAACAGGGGTGGTGGTGGGGCAGACAACATTTATTTTTCTAAAAAACGAACAACCCCCAAGGCTATAAGAGTAAAGCCAAATCCATTGAACAATATTAACCTATTCACATTAGGTAAAACTGTCTTTTACATTGGCTAACACCTGTTGTCATATATCACCCTTTGACTTGTTACCTCCCAGGGGCCTTAGGATTGCAGCCTAAAGAGTATTGACAGAAGAAACACCATAAGTGCATTGACTACAACATTTAGTTCAAGCACCAGTTGGGTGCTTTGGAAAAACTGCCCACCTCAATCTGAAGTGCTTTGGAGGTAACCTGATCCAGCTTAGTTTCCTGTTCCTGTGCCTCCCAACACACACACACACTTCACTATTGTGGGGAAAATCAATTGTGGTGAATTCTGGAGAGCAAATTCATTTCGGCTTTATCGGCTCAGAATTTTTAGGAATAACAAATATGCCAAAGTCCTTTTTAGCAGGAGAAATTCTCTTTTCTGCTCAGTATTCCTTGAAGATATTCTCCATTTACAACTTGGCTGACAGGTACCTACTCTGCAGAGCTTTGTTGTGAGATGTCATGCAGGGATTTACTGATATGTCATATGCAGACTTGGTTATAAATAACTAACATACATCCTAAGAGGATATGGAATCTCAGCAGAGCTCAGGATATCACTCCCTAATAAAACTGCTGATGATGTATCTGATACAATGGTATTGTTAACACTAAAAAAAAAGAACACCTGTTGCAAAGAATAGCAACAGAAGACACTGTAGATATCATTTTCAGGTAATTTCTGCTGGGGAAAAAAATACAATGCAAATCCTTTGGTCCCAACTGTATTCTCCTTCAACAACCTGCAGGAACAACTAAGGAAAAGAAACACCAATTATATGTAATATATAATGGTAATCTATGGTAGGTTGTCCCCCTGTCCTTTGGAACTATCCAATTGTACCATGACTTTTGAAGATTCCTTGATCACTTTATTCTTTCCCATTCTTCAGCATGTACCAAATCCTATTTCATAATTTGTCCACACAGTTCTTTCTTTGGGTCACTATTTTGGGGAGAGGTTGTGGAGCAGCTTTGCACAATTCTTGAATCCTGAGCCCAAATGGAGTGCTTTAGGCGAAGCTGGATGTGTTCAAAAATTCTAAAGTTGCAGCAGGACCCCCTGAAGCTGTCAGGCTCCAGGGAATTCTATCCCTCCCCCAGTGGCAGCAAGAAGCAGGGAAAACGAAGAGGAGTTCTCACTAATGAGTTTATTCAATCATCACAGCAAGAGACAATGGAATGCAGTGTGTCTCCCATTAATGGCATTGCTTCAACTAAGAAGAAGAGAAGAAGAGATTGGCTTTGATATTCTGCTTTATCACTACCCGAAGGAGTCTCAAAGCGGCTATTTCCTTTCCCTTCCTCCCCCACAATAAACACTCTGTGAGGTGAGTGGGGCTGAGAGACTTCAAAGAAGTGTGACTAGCCCAAGGTCACCCAGCAGCTGCATGTGGAGGAGTGGAGACGCGAACCTGGTTCACCAGATTACGAGTCTACCACTCTTAACCACTACACCACACTGGCTCCCAACTAAGCTCTTCCCCACTCCCTTCCTAGCAAAAGCACTTCCCTTCACAGTGGCTGTAACTCAATACTGCCTTCCTCTTCTCTGGAAGCTTCAGGATAAGAGGGAGGCGATCTCCCCCATTCCTCCTCAGTCTTGTCCCCTTCAGTCCAGTCCCTGGCAGAAGCATCGTGTCATGTAAATATAGAAAACTTCAGGCAAAGTTTTGCTAAAGGTGAAACTATTGTCTCCAAACTTATCATACAAAGAAACACACCAGGGTTGGAGGTGAAGGAGAACAAACACCAAGTGGTGAGAGGAAGGAGAGAGAGAGAGAGCTCTATTGTGACTGACAGTTCAATGTTGTAACCACAGGAAATGGTTTTATCCAGACTCTCCAGTGTTTTGAGAAAGGAAAGTGAAACCCTTTTTGTTCTCCCCACTGAAAAAGAAAATATTTTAATGACAAGTAGCGGAGATTTGTCTGAATATACTGCTTCGTCTGAAATTTGATGGGCTACCTACCGTGGGGCTTACTCTCATGTTGACTATTTTCAGATCAATTGCCTACAAAACTCCAAGGGACATTAAGTTATTAATTTTTCAACTATCCCAAAATTGTAAAGGCTACCTACAGATATCCTTCTGAAATTTGACAGGATATGTGACCTCAGAAGCAGCAAAAATGTATCCAAATATCATTCAGTTCTGCAAAAAAGTTACAGACTCTTTCTTTAAAAAAATAGTCATGTTTTAAAGACAACTGGTGCAAACATCACTAAACCTATTTTCCTATAATTTTTCAAATGCAATACACCCTGTAGGTGCTATTATGCCTTCAAATTTCATTGACTTCTGCCAAAAGAAAAACCCTCCCCCCCCCCGCAATAGTGAAGTGTGTGTGTGTGTGCTGGGGGTCACAGGAACAGGATGAAACTTATTTTTTTATATAATAATATTTATTATTTTTCCAAAAACTTAGACATTTAAAAAAACAAAACAATACAATACAACACAACAAATCAACAAAAACAAAACAAAAGCAATAAATCAAACAATTTCGTTATCCCATCTTTCATTCACTTATTTCCATGACCTCCTCACACCTCCCTTTTTGTATTCCACTTCTATTAATTATTTCAGCAATTCCTTTCAATCTTCCTCTGTTTTCTATCCTATAATTATCTTAACTCATTCTAACCTTATTTTTCCCTTTAATACTCTATTGATCTATTTACACTTAATTCCTTATAACATTACTACTAAAGCCATATAACTTCATTCCAACATTTTTCTAACATTCATTAATTTTGCAGTATTTCTGTAAATAGTCTTTAAACTTTTTCCCAGTCTTCTTCCACCGACTCTTCTCCCTGGTCTCGGATTCTGCCAGTCATTTCCGCCAGTTCCATGTAGTCCATCAACTTCATCTGCCATAGGATGAAACTTATTCTCCCCCCCCCAAGTGGCTTTGGAAACCAAGCTGAATCAGGTTGCCTCCAAAGCAAAATTAAAAACCAAATATATGATGACTATTTGGTATCAAAACCCACAGAGGAATTTTGATATTTGGTAGTTAATAGTTGGTAGTCTTTGAGAGCTGAAAGGCAGCAGCATGTAATACTTGACTGTATTTGACAGATGACATGCAATGGACATTTGACAGGTGACACCGTGACTTATCATATTTGATATATGCCAAAATTGGATGCAAATAAGAAGACATAAGTAAATCTAAATTTCCTGAGTTTTAAACACTGAGGTGCATTTTTTACTTTCAAAAAAGTGGGGCTGTGAACTCATGTGGGTCATGTGACTAACCCAGGAGCCCTACCCCAGAAGATGTGCATCTTGGTTTTCCATGTGTCCCAGTTGGAGGGTATGCGAGTCCCATGGGGCTCAGCCTTCCTGGCCAAACTCTAGGGATGTTCTTCACACCTCCCTCTTTTGTGCTCCCTGATCTGTCAGAAATTTTGCCCTAAAGCACTCTAACCTTTAATTTCTTGCAGCATTTCTCTAATCCCTATCTTTTTCTATAGTTCTGCTAGAACACGTGCTCAGCAGCGGGGCCACTATGAGATATTTGCACAGTCTGATGGGGAGGGGAGAAACAACCTGTGTGTACATTGCCCCTCTGGGAAAAGATGCTTGGGAGCACCTTAAACAATTTACCAATTATCCTACAAAATATTTGGCTTCAAACAGCAGAACCTGCCCCAGACACCCCTCCTGCTGTGAAGATAACTAGGTGCCATGCAAATCTTTGCATAAAAGAGAGAAAGGGTAATGTCAACAATGTCTTTGTAAATCCAATATAAAAGCCTTTCTCTCTTCCTAGCTACCCCCCACCCACCTTGTGCAAATCAGAACTATTTGGTTAGAGAATGGCTTATACTGAACTTGTATTGAAGAGATTGGGTTTATATACAAAAGGGCTCACAAGAGAAGAACAAGAATGCTCTTAAGGAGAGAGGAGGATGGAGAGCCAAAGTAAACCCTAAACTTAAAATGGAACAGCATTTATTTTTGCTGTCATTGTTGTTAAAGACTAAGCAGCTGCAGAAGAAGCAGGGGCTGTGCACATTTTGTCCAGCGGCGGTACAGGCATTAGGGATCAGCATCATCAGGTGCTGAGACCCACAACCATCAGGGTGCCCTCTACTAACCCCCAACAGCCGGCGAGCCATGCTCCTCCACTCTGATGTTGCTGCCTTCTGCAAGTGTCTGAGAAGCAACAAAGGCTGATAAGAGCATAAGAAGAGTCCTATTGGATCAGGTGTTCCACTGGCCTTGGCCCAGACCAGTATATCTAAAGGAGCGTCTCCACCCCCTTCGTTCAGCCCGGACACTGAGGTCCAGCTCCAAGGGCCTTCTGGTGGTTCCCTTCACTGCGAGAAGTGAGGTTACAGGGAACCAGGCAGAGGGCCTTCCTGGTGGTGGTGCCCGCCCTGTGGAACACCCTCCCATCAGATGTCAAGGAAATAAACAACTAGCTGACTTTTAGAAGACATCTGAAGGCAGCC